ATCTTTTCTGTTCCTTTTTTGGTCCATGCATGTATTTATAGGTGAAGTGTATTTCTTACAGACAACATAGCCTTTTTTATCCATTTAGCCACTCTTGGTCTTTGGAGGAGTTCAATGCATTCACATTCAGTGGTGTTATTAATAGGTAAGGATTTGTTCCTGTCATGTTATTCAATTTCTGGTTGTGGTCTGCTCCTCATTTTTCCTGTCTTCCTGTGGTAAAAGTGATTTTCTCTGATAGTATCTTTTAATTTCTGGCTTTTCTGTTTTTTGTGTGTCCGTAGTAGGTTTTTTGAGACTTGGAAAAAAGATTTTATAACCAACTATTTTAAATATGAAGTCTGTACTTAGCAATTCAGAGAAATCTACCAAAAATTCTACTCTTTGACTCCATCCTCCCCTTTTTGACTTTGTTATTTTCATTCATATCTTTATATATTGTCTCTCAAAAAGTTGCTGTAGTTATTTTTTTGATGGGTTTGTCTTTTAGTCTTCCTATTCAAGGTAAGTGGTTTATACCCCACAATTATAGTAATATTCTGTATTTGTGTCCTTACTGTTATCAGAATGATTTATAACTACATATAATTTCTTATTTTTCATTAACATTCTGTTTCTTTCATAGTGAAGAACTGGTGTTATCTTTCTTATAAGACAGGTGTGATCTCTTTCAGCTTTTATTTGGAAAAGTATTTCTTCTTCATGATTGAGGGATATTTTTGCGGGATGTAATATTCTAGGGTTAAGATATTTTTCTTTAGCACTTTGAATATGCTGTGCCACTCTGGCCTAGACTGTAAGGTCTTTTGCCAGGGAGAGGACTGTGGCCAGCTGTACTGGATGGAGCTCCTTTGTATGTTATTTTTTCTTTCTACTTGTATGTTGTTTTTCTTTCTACTTGTTTCCCTAAGAGTGTTTTCTTTGATCCTTGACCGTTGGAAGCTTGATTATTAAATGCCTTGAGATCGTCTTATTTGGGTTAAATTTGCTTAGTGTTCTGTGACTTTTTTATACTTGAGTATTGATATCTTTATGTTTGGAAAGTTCTCTGTTACTGTTTCTTTGAATAAATTTTCTAGTGCAATCTCTCTTTTTACCTCCTCTTTTAAAGCAAATAACTCTTAGATTTGCCCTTTGGATGCTATGAGTGATACCTTGGAATCCAAACTTAATCCGTTTCAGAGCCCCCTTCAAGTCCCAAATCGTTCCACTTCCAAGACAGTTTTTCCCCTTTAAAATAATAGAAACTCTGTTCCTAGGTCCTACAAACTCACATTTTCAAAATGTTTTTAATAGCACATACCCTGTATTTTAAGGTAAAATATTAACAAATAATATTTTAATAATCATGTAAATTAATAAAATTAAAAATATAAAAACCTAAAAATATAAAGGCCTGTTTCATCACAGTTGAACACTTGGTTTGAAACATCCCCCTTACTGTTCACAGACTCCTTAAGCTCCTTTACAAACTTTGCTGTTTCCAACTTATACCTGGCAGCCTCTCCACGCATAACAACACTGTGGATCCAAGTCCTTTCTTAAAGTTCTTGAACCACCACCATTGGCTTTAAACTCCTCCTTTTGAGCACTAGTATCAGGCATGCCTTTCATTAAATCGTCGTAGAGGACCTTGGCTTTCTCACAAAGCATCATTTCAGAAATCACATCACCAGCCAGCTGTTTTTCATTAATCCAAACTAAGAGGAGTTTTTCCATCTCTTCCATACTTTTAATCTCCTAGAGGTCAGTGTTATTATAACCCCTTTTGTCACATCAGCTGCTTTGATCGCTTCTTTATTTTTCAAAATCATACAAACAGTCGATTTAGGTGTCCCGAACATAGTAGTGAGATCAGCCACACAAGTACCACTATCATGCTTAGCGATAAGACCTTTCATAACATCAGTTGTAGCTCTAACTGCTTTGCTCTTACTCTTGCTTTCCCCACTACACTTTTTAGGAACCATTGTTATTATATATATTTTTAGGCCCATTGTTACTACATTTTTTTAAAAAGGCACAAAAGCATAAAATTGGCAGCGAAAATCACGAGATGCTTTGACTACAGCTTCTGACAGTGAACTGAATGACAAAGCATATGGGTGGCCTGAGCGCTCAGGAAAGGTACACCCAAAAACACACGAACAGCATGCTGGGCGTTGGGATTCCAGAACAGTGTTGGGAATCAGCCAAAATTTGCTCGAATTTTTCATTTGGATTCCAAGTTATTTGAGTTCTGGGGGCAATACTGTATTTCCTAGATCTTGTAGGCATGCTTTGTTTTTATTTATTCTATTTTGTTTGTCTTTTATTGCATTTTCCACTTACCCTCTCTTCGTGCTCATAATTCTTTATTTTGCTTGATCAGTTCTGCTGTTGAGAGACTGATAACATTTCTCAGCTTGTCAATTAAATTCTTAAGCTCCAGAATTTCTGCTTGATTTTTGTTTATGATTTCAGTCTTTTTGTTAAAGTTCTCTGATAGGCTTTTAATCCCATCTCTGTGTTGTCTTGAAAGTCATTGAGCTTGTTTAGGACAGCTATTTTGAATTCTTACCTATCTTAACACTACAGGATTGAACACTGCTGCCTTACTTATTTCATTTGGTGAGGTCATGTTTTTCTTGATACTCTTAATACTGTGGATGTTTGTCAATGTCTGAGCATTGAAAAGTTAGGTGACTGGTTTGAAATATTGTATGCCCAACAGGAAGCCCTCCGACACATTCTGAGGCCCTAGGATTTAGTGATTTGCAGTCTGGGCTTGTTTGAATGCATCCTTCTTGAGAAGGCTTTCTAGGTATTCAAAGGGAATTGTGTGTTATAATAAGTCTTTGGTCACTACAGCCTTATCAGCACTGGGGTGCCCCAAGTCTTGGTGGACTTATGTAAGATATGAGAGAATTCCCTGGATTCTGGGCAGAGTCTGCATTTGCTTTTCACTCTGGGCTGGGCTGCTGGAGTTGGGAGAGGAGTGGCATGGGTACTCCCTATGGCCTGCAACTGCTAAGTCATACCCGAAGCCAGCTCAGTCTCACCTGTAGCCTATGGTGACTGTTACTTGGTTACCTCTGTTGTTTATTCAAACTCCAAGGGCCCTTTAGTCAGCAGGCTGTGACTCCTGTCAAGATTGGGTCCTTCCTCTGAGGGCAGCGTGTTTCCTTGTTTCCCAGGAACTAAGGCCTGGACTCAGGGGCTTCAGGCATCTGCTTGGTACTTTATTTTACTTTAGCTGAGCTGGTACTCAGGTTACACAACAGAGTCTTCTGAACTCTTCCCTTTCTGTTCCCCAAGTAGAAGAGACTGCCTGAGCTGCACTGCCTTGAGTTGGGGAGAGGTGACACAGGTATTGGTTTGGCCACTGCTGCTGGTATCTCACCGGGTCATGAGTACTTGAAGTCCACTGGCTCCGAGCCAGCATTACTACAGGAATTGCCCAATGACTGCAGCCGTTGTGGCCAAGCTCCTTTACAATTTTAGTCCAGGCGTCTGGCTTCTTTTTCGTAAGCCGGTGGTGGCATTAGCCAGTACTCAGGTTTGGGGACAGAGGAATTTCCTCTTGTGAAAGTGGTCTAAAGTCTCCTTTCATAGACACCAGCAGAATTCTGTCCTGTGCTGTGTTCCTCTGTGTGCCAAGGCATCCCTAGGTGGCAATGCGAAGTTATGCAGTCACTTCCTTTCCTCCCCAAGGCACACAGATTTTCTCCACTCAGGGTGCTGGCACTGGCACTGCCAAGGGCTGGGGTGGGGTTGGATGGTGGGTAGGCAATGCAAGATTGTCTTTTCTGTTCTCTGGTGCCTCTTTCCTTGATACAATATAAAAACTAGGTAGTATGATTGCTCACCTGATTTTTGCTTCTTCTGAAGGTGCTTACTTGCATAGAAAGTTGTTGAAATTTGGTGTTTGTGTGGAAGAACAATTGCTGGGGTTTCTATTCAGCCATCTTGCTCTGCCCCCTTCCTAAATTCTGTTTTTGATCATCAGTTTAGGAAATCAGTCAGCCCATCCATCATTTATTATTTATCATTTATCAGAATAAGACCTGTTATATGCGCAATGCTGGCAATTTCTTCTTTAACCTAGAGTTACTTTCCATTTCCTAGGACTTTGTGGCCTTTGCCAAAATGTATTATCTAACTTTATTTTTTTAATTAAATTTTCTCCTTTTCAGTAATGGGGGTTTATTAAAACTAGCTTTATTTTTATGCCGCAGAATATTTTTTCATGTCATATGATGTACCTACTTGAATGTTAACCATAGTGCCACTTCTTAGTTTTTAAGTAATATAAGGTTCTATAAAAGTTTTTAAAATTAGAAATTGTCACATAAATAAATAAAATTAATATAGGAAAGAGTCACTACTCTTTTAGTATTTCAGTCGTAATTCAGTATTGAATAGCTTATTGAATATTGAATAGCAAAAATTGATACTTTTTATATAAAAATTTCCATTCAGTCATCTGACAGTCCTAGGAGATGAACCTTGTTAGGCATTCGTGTTCCAAGTTTGACTTAACTGAGATTACAGTTATAAAATGGCAGTACTAGATTTTTTGACTCCAGGTACTGTTTTGGGCTATCTCTTAACTCAAAAGAATATACCCTGAAATAATCTTTAAATCTGCTCCAGTGCCTGATGTATTAGTAAATGGTGAAATTATAAGTGGGGAAAAGAATGTGACATAGAAATCAAATCATAGATATATAAAACAGAGAAATGTGTGTAGGAAAAAGGTAAAAATAATATAGGCTTGTTAGGATGCTAGTGGATGATAGATTTTTGTTTTTTTTACTACCGTTGACTTTAAAGAAGTATCTTCATCCTATTGAAAGTAAAATTCCTTTTTATGGAAAATTTTAATTAAAGTGTTAACTTCATACAAGCCATAGTACAAATACCTGTGGACATATTTACCTATTGTATATCCTGATTACCAGGATTATAATTTAATTACATTTCTCTTGTGAAAATTTAAACTTTTTTTTAAATTTCAGCATTTCAGAGAAAAGCTGCCTTCATATGGAATGCAAAAGGTAAAATGCTTTTTACTGTTTAACTTGATTTGTAAAGTAGTTACATAATTTATTTAAGACCTCTTATGTCAAGAAAAATAAAAATTAATGAACTTCTCCCATAGGATATTATTAGAACTTAATTTATTCTTTTGAATTATTGGGAATTCAAAAAGAAAAAAGGGTCATAAAACAATTTTCCTGATGTTTTTCATATTTTGTACACAATTGAAATCCATTGAGTTTAAGAAGTAGAATTTTTTGTATAAGTTACCAAGGTAACTTATAAAATAAGTTGATAAATAGCTTAAAGACCAAACACTTCAATTAAAATTGAGGCACTACTAAAAATACAGTACTTAATAATTATTATTATACATTATAGCACAGTCACCCCATATAGTCCCTCATCTTTTTCTGTTCTTTCAGTGTTATTTTATATTTATTTATTTATTTATTTACCTACCTTTCATGGCATTTGTTACCACCTGATGTCTTTATGTGGTAGACATTTCCTTGCTAGACCAGAGTTTTCGAAGACAGAGTTTGTGTTGTTTATTCTGTATCTCTTGACTCAGTGCAGTGCCTGGCATTTTATAGACATCCAGTGAATAATTATTGAATGACTTAATTGTATTCCACTTCTCAGTATTCACCAGCTTTAATTTCAGTTTTCAAACTTTAAAAACTATTTTGATATGTAAAATATGTTAGAATAGATGGAGAATTTTTAAAAGTTAGGTTTTCACATTAAATTGTTTTATAGATGAAAATAACCCATAACATCCTCTTGAAATTGATTTTGTTGATGCAGTGAATAAGATTATTAAAAATAATAACATGTCTAAAAATGTTAAAAGAATATCTTCCCCAAATATGAGGTTTTCTTTATACCTAGAGTTTACCAATTTGATTTAGGTATTTAAAAACTTTATTTTAATTATTTGAAAGGAAATAATCACAAAATATGGTATATTCTTATTTCTAAAACAATGCATAAAACTTATTCTTTGGACAAAGCCATAGTCGAATTATACTTTGTATCCTGATGGCTCTCCATAGTTATTGGCTTTGGTCTATACTTGATAGCCATGTGTCAATGTTCTTTTCATTTAATGTTAATTCTTATACACAGAACTTATGAGCACTCATTTTTTTGTCATTGTTTTTCTTTAGTAGTGTCTTGGTGCTACCTATCTCTTGAAAATAGATAGATGCAGATATCTAAACTGCTGACAGAATTTAGAAAGCATTAATTTACTGTTTGTTAAAAACAGTTACCTTTAGTTTTGTAGAATTTTGATTATCCTTTCCAACTCGGTCTATATATGACATTTTTCGTTTACTTTCCTTTTTGAAATAGGAATTGGTAAATTTAATTGATAACCATCAGGTGACGGTAATAAGTGGTGAAACTGGTTGTGGAAAAACCACTCAAGTTACTCAGTTCATTTTGGATAGCTACATTGAGAGACGAAAAGGATCTGCTTGCAGGATAGTTTGTACCCAGCCAAGAAGAATTAGTGCCATTTCAGTAAGTAATCTCTACTTTTTTTTTTCAGTAATCTTCCTAGAGCCTACTGATTTTAAAGGTTTAGAATGATTCCTATGAAAGCAAATATTTGGTTGAGAAATATTTGGTAGTAATGGCAAAAAGATTGACCTCTGTCTTATAGGTAACATTTATGAATTCAAGGTAAATTATAAATCTAGACAAATTTCCATATAAATCCAAAAGTTAGATAATGTACTCCAGTATTTGAATTATATATTCTTTAAGCGTGTTTGGGACTTCTAACAACATTCAGTATGTATAGTGAATTTATTTCTGTAGTATATAATTGTACATGTAAATTTAAATTGTGCAGTTTTATGGTTGTCTTTGGTTTTATGATAATGGTATTAGTCATAACTAAGTCTTTCAGTACAGAATCTGTAGTTAGGAAGTACATGGCCAATGATGGCAGTATTTGGTGGTAAGTAAAATAAATATGATACTTATTTTTAGCTATAGTTTCTAAGAAATACTGTAAAAAAAAAAAAAACAACAGTCTTCACCTTTTTAATGGGGAACAATATTTCTAGAAATTGCATTAAGATCACAGAATGTTTAAGAGTAAACCACTTTGTTAAACATAGTTATGTCTCTAGAAATAATCATTTTTCTAATATGTGTCAGTTACCTTATATACTGACAATAGGAAAAAAATGTTAACTAGGTTTTTTTGTTGTTGTAGTTCCAAGATCCATTGAAATGGGAAGATTATATCAGTATGATACTGGATGTACTAATTGGAAAGTTTTACATCTGAAATATTATTTCATTAAATTCATGGCATTTTCTAACCACATATTATCACTGTTCTGTCATGAGATAACTGTTGGTTACTTTTAGTTGCACAAATCAGTATTAAATGATAATATTTCACCTATCCAGGGCTTGTTTTTGGCAGCTGGAACTTCCAAAGCACAACCAAGAACTAGAAATTGAGCAACACCAATTCCTACCACAAACAAAAAAATAAGAAAAAAAGTATCAACGTGTTCTTTCACATTTTTACTAGTTTTGACCATGGTTTCCAGTTCTTTTAGAAAAGACAAAAGGAATGGTAGAAATTAATGAGAGAATATTAGAGAAACGCACTTTTAAAAAATTGATGAGAGAATTTGACCTTGAAGGACTTTGTAAGAGGGCATGAAATGTAAACATTCAGCACGTAGTCTACAACTCTTAGGAAAGGTACACATTGTGTTGGATTCCTCAGATTTTAATAAATATCTACTTTTTAAATTCATCTGAAAATCTCAGGAACAAGTTTTTCAAATTTCAGTGACTGAATTGTATCATCAGTTTCAGCAATCTCAGATTTTCATGGATGTTCATGATGTTTGTTCTAAAGGAAATTATATTTTAACTTTGTAACTGTATTTTATTTGAATTTAAGGTTGCAGAGAGAGTGGCTGCAGAAAGGGCAGAATCTTGTGGCAATGGTAATAGTACTGGATACCAAATTCGTCTCCAGAGGTAAGGGACATTGATGGCTTGTATACAGGTCAATTGTGGCAAAACTTTTTTTTGTTTGTTTTTTGAGACAGAATCTCACTCACTTTATTGCCCTCGGTAGGGTCCTATGGCATCACAGCTCACAGCAACCTCTAACTCCTGGGCTTAGGCAATTTTCTTGCTTCGGACTACCAAGTAGCTGGGACTACAGGCGCCCACCACAATGCCCAGCTATCTTTTGTTGCAGTTTGACTGGGGCCAGGTTCGAACCTACCACCGTTGGTATATGAGGCTGACGCCCTACCCACTGAGCCACAGGTGCCGCCCAATTGTGGGTGAAACTATAAAGCTGGAAATTCAAAAGAAAGGCAGTTATTTTTATTATTTTTTATTTTTTACTACTATTTTTATTATTACTACTATTATTTTTATTATTTTT